TACCAGCAGTATGGACTGGACCTGGAGGGTACAGTGAAGCAGAGGTGTGACCTGACCAGAGCCAGAGCCTACAACAGATTCTCTGGAGGAACCTCTGGGAAGTGTGGGCAACAGGATTTGCAGACTAACTGGCCGTGGCAAGGCAAGGGTGGTTCTCAGGTTTCTGACAAGGCAGCTGAGTGATGACACCATGGGAGGGTGTGAGGGGAGGAGCACAGACAGTTCTCCTGGCCTGTGGAGGGATAGGAGGCATCTGTGTACAAGGCTTGGCCACTCGAGGAGCTGATGGAGCAGATCTCTTGTCTCCAGCAGGATCATATTGGTTCTAATTTATCTTGGAAAAAAGACTGGAAACCTCAGTGCATAGACAGGTGAAGACCCAGCAAAAGCCCAGACCACTCTGATGAGAGCAAGAACGAAGGTAAATGAAAGCTAGGACAGGATCAAAGCAACACCAACACGTGTGGAGTGTTTAATCCCAGCACTGGGTGGATGGGGGGAGGGCAGAAACAGGCAGATCGCTGTGAGTTCAAGACCAGCCTGGTCTACATAGCTAAGTTCCAGGACAGCCAGGGCTACACAGAGAGATCCTGTCTCAAGGACAAAAATACCAAACTTAGGAAAAAACTAAGAAAAAGTGAACTGCAAAAGTGTGTAAGGAGGAGCCAAAGACTCAGAAGACACAGTTAAAGACTATCATGTCAAGATGACATGATTAGCTCTACTGAATGAGCCTAGAGGACCCAGCCTGACCCACCGCCAGCACCCTCAAGAGAACTCCTAGCCCACAGTGCTCTCCAACTGTATGGGTCTATCACTGAGTCCCTTCACTCCAGGTACCAGCAGCAGTCTTGCTCTTCAACTTGACTATAACCACTCAGGGCACACTCTCCACACCAGCAGTGGGTGGCATACAGTCAGCAAAGTCCCTCACTCTGCAGACTTTCTGAAAACCTCAGGTTCTCTAGGTCCATCTCTGCAGAGTACAGGCACAGGGCATAGCATGGACATCCTAGATGTCATGGAGAGAAACTAAGACCAATCAATGCCAGCCCTGCACTTACATGTAGTGGGAGAGCTTCCTGTACTAAAGGTGAGCTGAGTCTCCACGAAGGTCCCCTGAACCAACTCTAAACAGACCTCAGCCCCTCCTGAACTCAGGATAGTGCTTGATTATCCAAAACGGGGCCTCTTTGCAAACTGCACCGAGGCCTGTGCCTCCCTCCAGCCAGCTTTGCCTCCAGTCTTGTCCTCCCTCATTTGCCCCTTTTCTTAGATCAAAAGCCCACCTAGGAAGCCTCTGGTCTACTTCTCAAACATATGCTGTTCAGCTGGTAAGCCTGGAGCTTCAGGCCAGAGGCTAGAACTCAAGTTATTTCAAATGGCTGCCTGTGCAGGTCTCACTCCTCACCATCCACAAACGCTACCTCTCCACCACCCCAAGGTTGGACATTCTCCAACTGGCTAAGCAAAGGAACAAGAAACCCCTTGGGGGAGCTTCAAGGAACAACAGGTAAAATGAGGAGAGGTCAGTCAGGGAAGGGCAGGGAGTTAAACTAAACCCTAATAAATATCTTTTCTATAAAAAGTATAGAAGAAAATTAAAGCCAGGTGGTGGTGGTGCACACCTTTTATACCAGCACTCGGAAGGCAGAGGCAGGTGGATCTCTGAGTTTGAGGCCAGCCTGGTCTACAGAGCAAGTTCCAGGACAGCCAGAGAAACCCTGTCTCAAAAAAACAAAACAAAACAAAAAAGTATAAAAGAAAATTAAATCCACCCCCACTAACTAAAACTCACCATAACAGTACCTGTGGCTACAGCATCAAGCCCTACAAACCCAGAGCAACACCTCATCCAGCTCTGAGGAAAGGCGGACACAAAGCGATTTGTCAGGATGAGAGCAGATCTCTTTGCTCCGGTGGGATTTTTACCGCCACTTCAGCTCCCGTCTCAGTGCTGCACTAATCAGGCCTTTCCCAACAACACTGATGTGAAGCAGCTTTGGGGGCTAGAGGAACAACAGCAAGGAGAAGGAGCCGTGGCTTCCGGAAACTAGAGTGGGAAATGAAAACATTGGCTGAATTCCTTCGACTTAGTTAAATCTGGAAATGGATGTCAAAATACGAAGTCAGCCACATACTAAGAAGTTATGAGTGTCAATTTCACACAGCCTTGTCAGGCTCAGCAGCAGCCTTTGCCAGGCGCATAGTACAGGGCAGCTCTGCTGAGAGCCACTGACAGCCCCTACCAAGGCTCCAGAACACAAATAAGCAGTGCACAGTCACGCTGCACTGCTTACCTTTTCTCTCTGGCTGCTTTTATTTTGTTACACATTTAATTAAGAGCTTTCCCAGCAGTTACGCCAGTCCTGCTTCTAAAAGGCAGTCACAAGCCCCTCCTCCCCCACTCTGCCACCCAGCAGCTGCTGCCTCTGGCATACCCTTCTCCAACGTCAAACTCAAGTAAGTGCAAACTGTGAAGTCTTAGAATTCCTTTCGAAGTGGTTGAGTCTTTACCTCTGTGAGCCCCAAAGTGTTCTGCTTTGCCTTATTTGTTTGCTGTGTTTATAAAAGGGAGACATCGCCTCCTACCAGAGACAGTGGTTAAGACCAAATGACATACACACTTGGATTCTGCAACCCAATCCAGGCATCACAGAATGGCAGTGCAGCACAGAACCCAAAGGCTGGACTGGTGCTGCAGGCCAGAAGAGGCTAGACCAAGGACAGCGCCCTCTGAACCCTGCCTCTCCATCTCCAAACTGAGGAGGCCCAGCAGCAAGGTCTCGAGTCCCATGTACATCAAGTTGTCTGCACGCGTGCTTGCACACACCACTCCCAAATGATAGCAGCAGATTCAGAAGCACCAGCACTGAGACAATGAAGATACCAGGAGGAGAACACAGGAAGAGGAGAAGTCCTGCCTGGAGAGGCTACCTGGAGGAACTGGGGCCCTGGACCAGGTCAAAGCATCTTCCATTTGGGCCATGTGACCCCCCAAAATCTGGGGTATTAGCCTGAGCCTGCCCCATCTGAATGGTTTCTCCTGGGTCAGAGCCTCCACGTAAGACTCTCTAGGCTTCAAAGCTACATAGGATACACAAATGAGAAGAGCTTTCCTAGGCTGGGGTACAGCTCAGTTGGTAGGGTGTTTGCATGCACAAAGCCCTGGGTTCAGTAGCCAGCACCACAAATACCAGGTGTGGTGGAACACACCTACAATCCCAGTACTTGAAAAGTGGAGGCAGGACGATCAGTAGTCATCATATGTAGTGAGTTCAAGGCCAGCCTGGGTTAATTATATACAAGATCCTGTCTCAAAAAACAAAAAAACAGGGCCGGGCGGTGGTGGTGCACGCCTTTAATCCCAGCACTTGGGAGGCAGAGGCAGGCGGATCTCTGTGAGTTCGAGGCCAGCCTGGGCTACCAAGTGAGTCCCAGGAAAGGCGCAAAGCTACACAGAGAAACCCTGTCTCAAAAAACCAAAAAACAAAAAACAAAAAGGGAATACCCTTGCCCTCTCAATTTCTCCATCAATGCCTCTGATTCAGATCTGCTTCCAGACTTCCAGACCCAGTCCGCACCATTCGTCTGTCATGTGGGAGGCCAGAGACTCTGGAGCAAACCTAGAGGTGTACAGCTAGTGTATGTACACACACTTGAGTGCTGTGTGCCCATGTGCTCTGCAGATCATTCTTCCTGACTCCCCCACAAATCCAGCTAAGGTTCAAAAGCAGATGTGACACCCACCGGGGGCCTAAGCTCACCTCAATGACCAGGGTCTAAAACACACACAAGGGACCCTGGTGAGAATGTATTACCTGATTTGGTAGGAATAGCCACTGCAGTCACTATACCTCACTCCTACCAACATCCCCCCACAACCCCCCCCCCCACAGAGGGCGGGGGGGGAGGGAGAGGGAGAGGGAGGGAGGGAGAGAGAGAGAGAGAGAGAGAGAGAGAGAGAGAGAGAGAGAGACTCTGCCTGCTGCTGCTTTAGTCACAAAGAACACAGTGATATTGATTCTCTCCACCCTCAGCAAACAGTGCCCCCACCCCTTTGGTCCCCCAGGGGCTGTCTGAAGCCAGGTGTCCATGAGGACAGACAAGAAGCACAAGTGTCAGCCTAGCAGAGGAGCCTGTCCTGTTTTCCACACCCAGATAGAACAGGATCAGAAGACAAAGGAGAAGCAGTGGGGACAAAGGGAGAGAGAGAGGAGGGTGACTTGGGCAGCTTCCCAGAAGCAGCCCTCTCGAATCAGACCACCAGGCTCTCAGCTAGATAACCAGGTCTCACAATGCAAATAATAGGGCAGCACAGTAACAGTTAGGAGAAAGGACCTTGGAGCCAACTGCTGTGTCTGAATGCTGGCTGTGTGGTTCTGGGAAAGTTACTTAACTTCTCTGTGCCTTAATTTCTTTAACTATAAAACAGAAGTAAAAACAGTACCTACTTCACAGTACTGATGAATGAGTTCTTATTTCAGAGCACTCCAAATAGTAAATACTATGTATTCTGTTTAAAAGTTTTGTTTTGTTTTGTTTTGTTTTAAATAAAATGAAGAACAGCCGGGTGGTGGCCACACACACCTTTAATCACACTACTCGGAAGGCAGAGGCAGGTGGATCTCTGTGAGTTTGAGGTTAGTCTGGTCTACAAAATGAGTTCTAGGACACCTGGGACTGTTACACACAGAAACCCTATCTCGAAAAACCAAATATATGTGCCCCCCCCCCAAATCCTCTTTTAATGCTCTTCTCTGGGTCAGTAACATGCAGGCCAGCAATTAGAAGGGCTGTTGTGAGCAGCAAGACTTGTCAAAGGCCCCTAGCTGGTCCCTGCCCTGTTGCAGAGATGCCTAGTAGTCACAGCTCCCAGCCTTTCTCAAAGACCCAGGGACCCCTGCTGCCCAGCAAGCTTGAACATTTAAGCCCTAAAAGACAATGCCTGGTCCCTTAGATGCCAAGCCCTGCAGCAAAGAAGCCCTCTACATACTCACATGACTTTCAAGTCCCAGTCTCCGCAGGTGACAAAAATTGACTTGACGTTGGGATCTAAGAGGCCTTCCTTCGCCATCCACTCATCGACCCTCTGGAAAGTACACAAGAACAGATGAGATTGTCCTTTTTCTGAGCCTATGAATAGCCCCAACAGTGACACGTAGATAAGCCATTTGTAATCAGAGCAGAAGGAATGGTAATCTCACCCAGCTGTGCTGAGCTGTGTGCTCTTAGCCCTGGCCTGGCTCTGGACTACAGAGGTTCTTAAAGGATGATCCCTTTGAGAAGACATCACAAGTCTGTGTGTGGTGGGAGAGGGAGCCCCTCTACCCTTCAATGTATGACAGCCTACCCATGATCCCAACTGGCAGTCCAAACACCTTTCTCTGACTTGACTGTCTCTTTCCCTGACTGTTATACTAAGGCACAGCCCAGCACAAACACAGGCTGTCCTGGGCCATAAGAACAGGGCAGTAAGAAGCCACAAGCAGTACCTTACCTATAGTCTTGTTCACACTCATGCTATTTCACACTAACAGTAAGTGCTTACTAACTGTGTTTATGAACCTAGCTATTCATCAAGCAAAGATGGAGTCCCTTTCCCTTCAAAGGAGGTCCCAATGATGGGCTGGAAAACAGGCTCTATTTTGCATTTCTCCTTTTCTTAGCCAAGGGTTCAAATTCAGCAGAGTATTTTGAAGATTGAGCTCAAGTGCTGCACAGGGAAAGAAAGCATTCCTAAGCACACCTAAGTCCTTCTCTTCATGCCTCCAGCTGATTTTACTGTTTGCACTCACACTGGAGTACAAACACAAGCATCGGTATATAACAAGAGAATTATCATAAAGAATTCATGAAGCATTGCCTATTTTTCAGAAGATCCCAGGCACAGGGAGGGAGTGCAGCCAATAAGACCATGGATTCTACTTGCATGGGATGATTATTTCTTAAGTCTCTATCATACAGTAGTTAGAAACACAGAATTGAAAGCAACACACATCTAGGTTCCAATCCTTGGCTCTTCCTTATCCTGGTTATGTTGTTGACTGGAAGTAATTTAAAAGTCATTTAATACCACTGTACCTCAGTTTCCTTCATCTATAAAACGGGGTAAGATGACAATCCTTCCTGAGTTGTTCTGAGAATTAACTGTGATGATGTGTCAACACCTCCCCTACAATAGACAGGAGGCTGAGAGAAGAGGAAGGGAGTTGGAAAAGTGATTGGACTGCTGCAGGACCAAGAGGAAGAACACTCCTGGCAACAGTACAGACATGGTGGAATGACTACGTAAGAAGTGACTTCCAGTCTGTCTTCCCTAGCAGACTGTAAGAATGCAAGGGGCATCTGTGTGTGTGTGTGTGTGTGTGTGTGTGTGTGTGTGTGTGTGTGTGTGTGTGTGTGTGTGCGCGCGCGCTGGCAACAGTACAGACATGGTGGAATGACTACGTAAGAAGTGACTTCCAGTCTGTCTTCCCTAGCAGACTGTAAGAATGCAAGGGGCATCTGTGTGTGTGTGTGTGTGTGTGTGTGTGTGTGTGTGTGTGTGTGCGCGCGCGCGCGCGCTGCTTCATTCACTGTCCTAATCCCAAACCCAGACCTGGATTTAATTCCAAACAAATGTGTTGCCAGGCATGATGGCACACATCTGTAATCTCAGCAGTTTGGAAGCTGTGGTGTTGAGGATCACAAGTGTGAGGCAGTCTGAGCTACAAAGACAGTTCAAAACCAGCCTGAGCTATACAGTAGACCCTGTCTCAAAACAACAGATACTTGATGACTAGAACATTAACAGACAGAAGTTTAGTGAGCCAAGCCTAAAGTGCAGAAAAAGCTGGAAATGCAGTCAGACCAGACTGCAGAGGGGCTGTGTGCTCAGCAGTAATGGAGAGCACATGTGGGCTGCAATGAAGAATCCTCCATCTAGCAGGTGTAGCTAGCTCCCTTGGCACTTCTGAGATGCTAGAGGCACCCATAAGAAGACCAAGAACCCACTCAAGTTCCATGGGAGGCTAGTTCCCAGAGTGTCAGAGCTGCTCCCTGGTTCAACTGTGTAGACCACAGTCTCTAAACCCTCTTCATAGTCTGCATCTATCTATGCCTACGAATCTTCCCCAGCCCAGGAACCTCCTAAGCAGTGAGGCTGGGTACTCCACTGCTGATTGTCTTCTCAGTTCTCTGGCTTAATCCCTTATACACATGTACACACATGTGCAGACACACACCATCACATCTTTACCCAAGGTCATCTAAAGAAAAGACAGACTTCATTCAAGAGAAGTGATAAGATCAACCCAGAGCTTCCTAAATCCCTAAAACCTTGTGTTAGTTGGCTGACTCTATACACTCAAGTAAGTGTCCCACATGATAGGATGCTAACCTCCCAATTCACAGTGGGAAAGGAGATGAGGACAGGACAGGCCGACAGAAGGACTCAGCCAGCATGACCATCTTTGTCCCAAGAGGCACTTACACTCCACCATGTGGCAGAAACTTAGTGAGCATCTTTCCGTGTGAGTCTGCCCAGACACTCAGGCCTGACCTCCCTTGCTCTGCCTAAATGAAGAAAAGCAACAGGAGGCACAAGACAACTGTCTGTTCAGTAGTCCCTCCCATCCCCGGCAGGGTAGTGGGCCCAGCCTGAGCTCTACTCCGAATAGACGAGTCAGGTAAGCATCTTGCTGGCTGCTTTGATTGGGACAAGAAATTCACATTTTAGTTCTGTAACTGACTCAGGACTAACAGGACTGATATGGTGTCCTTGTTCTCCAGAAACTACTCAGATTGATGCTTGAAATCTTCCCTCCTCACCTACAAAGTCTAGGAGTGGATGACATTCAGAACATCCTAAGCACCCTACTCCAGGAAGGTATCTTTTGAACACCACATCTCCCCTCAATTCAACCATTACTTTAATGACCCTGGTTTGGAGCTGACCTAGAACATTCTGCCAGGACTCCAGCAACAGACATTCCTGGGAAACGCTGTCAGTCCTCTATTCTCCCTTCTTAGAGCAAGGCTGGTTGGGGATACTGTTGGCAAAGAGCAACCATACTGAGGGGATCCCTCAGTCCTAGCATGGACTACCTCTCTACAGGACAGTAGGGAAGGGAGGCAAATAGAAGTTCCCTTCTTTGCCTTCTGCCATCTATTGCAAGTGCCCTCACCATGGCCAAAACTGAGCTGACATGCCTGGACCTCTAGACTCCAGGAATACAGAGTACTCATTGCCACTGAGGTAAACCGAGTCTGCCTTTCAGACCTGCTCTATCCCAATGGTTCCAGGATGTTCAGGCCACAATGCTCCCCCAGAGGACAGGATTCATGGCTAAGGGGAGATGTCTCCCTTTTGATCCCACAACTCCGCTTCTTCGCTGTCCACTTCCCATGCCAACATGCCTTGCTATTCCTCCTAAACACTGATAAGGTCTAAGCTTTGGATTTACAAGTCTTACAAACAAAGCGTCCAACGAAATCCACAGGCTTGCTCTTGTCTGCCTCCTCTACAGAGCAGGGCTGGGAAGGAACCTTTTTTCTTAGAAAACCCTGAGGCTGGAGGGGTAGAGGGGAGGGAGGCTGAGACCAAGCATAGCCTCTTCCTTACTCCCGCAAGCCAGAGCATAGGAAGCAGCGCCTTAACCTTTCCCAGTTCCCTGAGGAGAATATCTAAGAAGTGTGGTCTCTGCCAAGAGTTCTAAAGTCTTTAATTTGATTTCCCTCACATAGGCAATTGTTGTAATTATTCTGATTAGGAATCATTACCCAGTGCAGCCTCTGCACCCGACAGGCACATGGCAGCATCCTGCAGCAAGCTGCGGTGGGGCCGGCAGCCGGCTGCAGCTCCTGGAGGAGCTGACAGCAAACAAAAGCCATCGATGGGAGTTCTGGGTGAGTTAATGAAGTGCTCACATGCCACAAGAAGCCAACACCAAAGCTAAACAAAAACACCTCCAGTCCCTGGGGCTAATCCCCGCAAGGCTGCAAAGCAGCTAGCTCCCCTGCCCCAGCCCACCCAGTGCAGGCCGACAGACAGCACAGGGCTGTCCCCAGGCCAGGCAAGGAGGGGGCTCTGCCTGACTCCTGGCAGCACTTGGACATCCTGTCAGTAACCCTGACGGGAACAGCTGGAGATGACAGATCAATGGTTCAATACTCTCAACGGCATGTCACTGATGTGACAGCAAATGTTATTCTAATCAAGCCATAATCATAGTCAAATTATACGGCTACATTCTCTGGAGGGGTGGGGGAAAAAGGCAGCAGGAAGAGGTCAGAGGTCAGGAATTAAAGGTCATTCAGCCTACCTCCAGCACTTGCTGCAGCCTTGGCTGGCCATCCACCATGGCTTGAATAATCCCGGTGAGCTGTAAGAAAAGAAAAACAGCCTTTGGGTGGAAAACCAAGGTGCAAGGGACTCATGCTGGATGGTCCATTCTGTTCCCTCTTCCTCCTCCCAGTGCGAGGGCTAGGGCCTCACTGCTTTAAGCTCAGAGCCAGGCCAGACGCTTGGGAATCATATCCTAGGATGCGGTATGAACATCCTCAACAGCAGGTAGCCTGAGACGGGCCTGCACACCCATGCTAACAACAGGGCAGGCTCCATGTTTGTTCATTTGGGGGATTTTTTCTTTTAATTTTACATGTCTTTTGTATTCAACAGGTTCAATAAGCTCCCACAAATTAGTCTTAAGGCACATTAGACTCTGACTTCACAGAAGTTCCCGTGGAGCCTAGCACACTTGGGTTTGAGCCTTCCCTTTCTGTCAATCCAGCACTTCCTCAAACCTAGTGAATCTCCTCAGAAATCTGCACACCTCAGTTCTCAACACCGCCTAGGCAAGCTGGAAGGCCACCTACGAGCAATGGGGAGACAGACAAGAAAGTCTGAAGGATAGACTCTGGCCTAGGGACTGACTCACAGGCATAGGCCACGCCCAGGTCAGGCCTAGCTTTAAGCAAGTTTGTTTTGCTTTGCTTTTTCTAGAGTAAAAATATCACTCAAGCACAGTGTGGGCACAGACTTCCTATTGGTATTTGAAGCGCACAGACTTCCTATCGGTATTTGAAGCCCGAGGCCCTGTCCCAGACACTAGCTAGAACTCACAATGCTATCATGTCCCTGGCTATTCTCACAAAGAGTACTATGTCGAGCTGGCTTGGAAACAACTTTTTTGTTGAAGTGGGGGAAGGGGTTTAAAACTCCAATTAAACTATAATTACATTTAATGACTACCAAATACCCAACTCACAGAAAGTGCTGGCTCTAAGAGGGAAGGTTATTTTCTCATAGTGACTTACATGGAATGGTAATACACACCTTTTAGGGAAGAAATTTTCATTTTAAGAATGCTGAGTTCCTCTAGGTGGGTTTCTGTAGTTCATCAAGTCATTATTAGGTGGTATTTTAAGGAAGTGTAAGGACACAGCCACTCTATTTTATATTCCAGAAACTGTTTTTATATTAATCTGTATTTTAATTGGGTAACAGCTGCTGCCTACAGACTTCCCATGGTCTAAAAGGAAAATAAATTAGAAAGATTAACTACACTGTTGTTTCGCAAGGCTTTAACCCACAGCATGCCCACCCGGCTGGCACCTCCACACCCTTTCCTTGCTTGGGAGACCAAAGAACTGCCCAGCAGAGGGAGGGCCTGAGTCAAAAGAAGAAAAGACTGCTCTCCTGCTACAGCCTAGAGGGACGGGGAGGCACCCTGCACGGGAGGGAGGTTTACATTTGAGAACAGAGCACTCCTCTTCTTCATTCTCCTGGCACCTACTATGTGCCAGAGAAGCAGGGGCCTGCACAGGAACACTGAAGCTCTACCTTCTTGGAATTTGCCCTCTTCATCACAGTGCCCTCCTGTGTCTAGTCTGGTTAGCACCCAGAGCCTACCCAAGCTCAGAACCACACCCCAAGCAGACAAGAAGTTGTCCTGCATTTTCTGTCAGGCACACAGGGACCAAGACTCAGGGAGAGACTCTCATTTTCAACTCCAGGTCCACCTTCCAGAAGACAGACTGACAGCCAGGGACTGCAGCTACTCCCCGCAGCCTTGCTCATTCCCACTAAATTCTCCAGGTTGGAGGGATGAGTTAGGGTCAGGGCTGTGGTGGGAAAGGCTCACATTCACTCTCCCTTCTGGAAAGCTCCAGGGTCCAAGCACCAGTCTGCATCTAGTATGAGCCCTAGGGATGGCCAGGCGCCCTTCTCTGGCTCCACCCAGGGGAGTTCAGAGCAGCTCAACACTGAAAGGCTTCAGAAAGTCTTACATGTGCAGACAAAGGCACAGAGCAAGAACCTAGGCCCTGGGGAAAACAGACGCAGATAAGAAACACACGACACCTGTAGATTAGTAGCACAGCACTTGCCGAGCAGACTCAAAGCCCTGGCTTTTAACTTTAGCACCACACACACACAATAAAAAAAGTCACCGAAAAAGAAAACTAGGGGTCACAGAGGTGTCCTGCTGGAAAGCTGTAGGACTCCTCACTGTAGGCCAGGCCCACCTCTCCCCACATGTCGGTCAACTGTGATGCCATGCTTTCTAGAGGGCAAGCGTTTCCACTGGTGGCCAGCCAGTGTGGCTCACCACTGAGTTCATTTGGGATTGAAGTCAGTCTCAGAGACAAAGGCTTGAACAGTAAGTAGTTCAACTAGACACAGTCTCCTAAGGGAAGTCTCCAAGCCCTTAAGGGACTGAGAAAGTTCTTGAAGGGTTAGATTCATCACTCAAAGAATGAGCCACCTCTTACTAGCTCTGCCAGTGCACACTCGATGAAGAGGGCTAAAACTGGGGCAGCTAGTCCCCGTACTTGATATACTACCAATCTGTGAATGGTGAGGGAGAGAGACAACTGTATAAAATTAACTGGGAAGTTCTATCTTAGGCCTAACTTAAATCCTTCATACTGTAGTTTTAAGCTCATCCCTGCTTAGATTAGTGTATGTTTGCAAAAGGCTTTCTTTTCCTTACAATGAACGGTACTAGAGCAAAGCCAAGCATTTGCTAAGCTGAAAACCAGGGCTCACAGGCTAAACGGGCTCAGAGGCCTTAACCACTTAAGGTAGGAGAGGTGAGAGGAAGAATTAATGTGTGTTCTCTGGCTCCTTCCACCAAGGAATTAACAGATTAACTCCCACTTCTCCAGATGGAAAGCACAGGCGGGGACTTTGGACATGACTGGTCGGTCACACTGCTGGTTCCCAAGGACCCTACCAACATGAGGGCTCTGTCCAGGGATGAGCTGGCGTCATCAGAAACAGTAGCAACTCCAGGAAGCAGCCCAGGAAACTCAGTGCCAGCAGCATGTCAGTGGCCAGGCGCTCTCCTTTCACAGTTTATCTCCAACACAATCGTATTCCGACACCACGACAGTGTGCTGATTACATAAGCACTTGTCTCTGGTGTGCAATCTGATAACCAGACCCACTCTTTCTCCTCACACAAAGAGACCAATAAATCTCACCCTTTCTAAGTACAGGTGCAAGACAAAGCCCTTTACTGGCATTTAGCAAAATGGGCATTTCTCTGTTGGTTGTTTTTTTTTTTTTCATGACAACAACAACAAAAGACTGTACATGGCCAAGGACTGCAGCTGCCCAGCTGCTGGAGCGCGAGCTCACAAGCTGGGTCAGATTCCAGAGGCCACAGGAGAGGAACATCCAGCCCTGTCTCCACTAGAGCCATGCTCAGGAAGGCTGTCAATGAACTGAAGCAGTACCTCAGGAGGCTGAGACTTTCTTCACAAAGCAGCATAAGCATTTGTGAAACTACAGATCTGTTTAGGCCAAAGCCTTTTCTCTGTGGCCCAGCATTATACAAGCATGTGCTCACACATACATGCACATATACAGGTTAGAGGTTTTGTTTGGGTGTTTTTTGAGACCAGGTCTCATTATCTAGCCCTGGGTCTTGGTATTTCAGCCTTGAACTCAATAGGTTAATCCAGACTGCCCTCCAACTCCCAGCCTCCTGTCTTAGCCTCTAGGTACAAAGATTACAGGCATGAGTCATCATGCATACCTATTTGTCTATCTGAGACAGTCTCATGTCGTCCAGACCAGCACTGAACTCCTCCTCATCCTGTTTCTGACTACAGAGTGCTGAGATTATAGGCACATGCCTATGCACCTTACCACACTAGGGTTCTTAAGAACTTCTTGTGCATTTGAGAAAGAAGCTATGCTAGAAGAGCTGCTTGGGTCCAGTCTAGAGGTGTGAGAGCACTGCTCACACATTTATTAATGAGAGGCTCCAGGTAGGTTAACTCCACCCACCCACCGCTATCTCAACAGTGGCTTACTGCCAGGGCAGGTGAGGCCTCACCCTGTACCCAGAATTCTCTTCAAGACCTAGTTACAACTGATATGGGCTCAGGGCAACACTGAGGTAATGTGAGGTTTTCCAGAGACTTTACTCACTCAAAAGGACAAGTCAGAGGTCACCAAGATGGCTCATCCATAGGGCATTTGCCACCAAGCCTAAGGACCTGAATTCAATTCCTGGGCGGCACAGTGTAAGGAGAACTGACTCCCACAAGCTGTCCTCTGCCCAACGTGCATCACAGCATGTGTGCACTCCCTGCCAAACACAGATTTTTTTTTTTAAAGACCAAGTCCACAGTATAGTAGCTTTGGAGGAGACACAGACACCTCCTTGGCAACAGTCCCTTGTTTATGGAGCACACATGGTACTAACTCTCATAATGGGACAGAAATGGATCTGTACTCTGGGAACACATCACTGAGTAGCAAAACAGATAAACAATCAAAATATAAGCTATCTGATCAATGTGATTTTGGGGTAAGCACAATCCAGGCTGTGCACCAAGGAAGGATTGCAACCCTAAGCAGGCCTGGAGCACAAGAAAGCACAGGGCACACCGCAGCAGGTGGGGACAGAGCAGGAGCTAGGAGTCTGGAGAGCACTGAGTTCTCAACCCAGTGCCTCACAACCAGACCTTTGTCTTCAGAACCGCTGTGCCGCCCGGATCCCAACACCACTCCCACCATCCTCCAACTGTGGATGTTCCTGGGTAAAACTGTCAAGAAGAAAAAAACCATGCTTTCCTTGTAGTCTCACAAAGCTGCACCAGAAACTCTGTGCTGGAGGATGCTCCTGGGTGCCTCCCATCCCCACTTTCTGGAGCACCTACCCTTGCCAAAGGCCGGCCCCAGAAGCATTCTGCCATTCCTGAACAGGCAGCAACCACTCCAAGATCTGGGCCTCTGGTCCACACCAGGCAGTGTGACCACACTAGTTTAAATGTCCCCATTCCATTTGTTCCCCAAAGCTAAACTAACCAGGTTGGCCTGGTTAGTACCTGGATGGGAAGAGGGCATGGCATGGGTTCCAGGCCATTGGGTGTCTTAGGTGGTAGCTAGTATAACCTTCCTTCCACTGTTGAATGATGGCTTTCTAAAAGAGAGCAAAGGGCAAATTAGCCACTCACCCTAGCGGGAGAGGCCATTTCCAGGGGAAGGGGGAAAATGAGGGACAGCTTCAACATCATGAGCTGGAATGAAAGGCTTGCAAGACTGGAAACCTGGACAGAGGGGTGCGTGCCATAAAAGGCTTACCTGGGCCAAATGGCAAACACTGACTATGAGTTCAGGAGCAGCTCTGGAGACCCCATATCTAGGCTAGTTAGCCTCAGGGCCCACCAAACCACCCACTGCATCTAGCAGGCCGTTCCCCAGCCTCTTCCACAACAACAACAAAATGTGTGGGATCCCTCAAGGACTTCTTTCCCCTATTTCACTTATGTATAGAAAATAGGTCTTTGCATGAAGGCACAAAGGCTCACCTCTGCTCCCATGCATGCCTGACCAGTGATTCCACCACAGAACGCATGGCATGCATGGCACATTACAGTGAGAGCAGCCACAGAAAACTTCTCTACACCCTTCTGGGAGTCAACCCCCCAGGAGCTCCTCTCTTCTAAACCTCAGGCAATCATCAAAATCTCAGCTCCATTTTTGCAGTCTGTAAAACGGAGACTGCTAATCTGCAGACAAGGTAGCCAAGTACAGTGTGAGCCTAGATAAAAACACCTAAGCCTTGGCCAGCCTTTCTTCTCTGTCCTTGGTGGGAGAGTCCTGCTTTACTTTGTAGAAGGACAGAGTAACATCAGCATCTTAGGAAGCTAAGAAAGCCTGAACGTAACAATTCTCTCTAAGTGGCTAAAATCTTCACCTCTTCCCAGCAGGCACTATACTATTGAAAATGGAACAAGACAGAACCTGAGTCCCATACTATTCAGAGACTGACTCCAAGTGTACAGTTGTTAGGAATATGGAGGGCAAGAAGGAAAGGGAAATGTTGGAAAATCTGGGGCAAACAGTATTGCTGCTGTTCCTGGGGACAGGTACTCAAGCAGTCACAGACTAAAGAAGCCATTGCTGCACTCTTGCCTTAACCACTGATCAGGTCTAGTTTTCTCTAAGTGGTCTGCATGAACCAACAATCCCAAAGCTCCTCTCCCAGCAGCTCTTACCTCTGTACAGAAGGGGGTAAGCTGTGGGTGGACTACAGGCTGGACATACATGTGAAAGGTAGACTCGATTTCCATGGTCCGGCCATTTAACTTCAGGATGGGAAACTCAATGATTTCCTAGAATGCCAAAGAAACAGAAGAGAAGGTAAGTCATTCTTATGATCAACCATTTCAAATAACTATGCCAGGCTGAGAAAAAATGGCTCATTCCTCCTGCAGCCCAAACCTAAGACTAGAAGAGGGGATGTCAACAAGCCTCCCCATGGTTTTTAGGAAGGAAGATAGTAGCGCCCGCACTCTGCCTGCCAGTTTCCCTGACAGGAGCCCATCAGTTGAACCTCTAAGAGAAAGAAAGGCCTTCCTTCTCTTGCCCAGGCTGCTGTCCTGAAAGGTCTGGATCTCTAGGTAAGCAAGCAGCCACCAGCACAGGCACAGTGGGGGCGGGGTGGCAGTGGGGTCTTCACTAGTTTTTGAAAGAAAGGAAAAAAAAGATAACAAACAATCCCCCCAAATAAAGCCAAAAGGGATATCAGAGAGAAGGAGGAAAGAGAACACCAGTTAATAGAGGCCAGTGCCTCCCACCTTTCCTTCCAGCTCTGCACACTCCCCTTTGCCTGCCCTATCCGCCCAACTGCTTAGCAAGCCCTTCCCAGTCTGTCGGAAGGTAATGGAAGAGAAGGAGGAGGAGTGACAATTTGTTTGGTGTCTCTAAGATTAATTTGTCTCCGTTATTTAATAGAGATGCACAGCACCAAGGTCCTGGTGTGCAAACAGGCTTGCAGAACGCTGGCTGTGCAGCACGCCTCATACATCGTTCCTGGAAAGGGAGGGATGCACCAGAGGGGGGAGAGGGCAGGAGAGAGCACGCGTACCACGAAGAAGAGGGAAACCAAGGGGAGAAAATAAAAAAATATATTGCTTTTTAATATTCAAAAACAGTTTGCAAAATTTAATCAAAGCAGAGGAAAAGCTAACATTTTTACCACTTTGACATTTTTATTAGCGCTTTCATAAATTTTTAAAACATGAATGGAATTAGTTTACAACACCCACACACACACACACACAAAAAAACTGCCCTGAAAACATCTGGAAAAGACAAATAGGAAATAATAAAAAAATAAATAAAAGTAAAATCTTCCAAGTAAAATTAGCATGTGAAAACAGCCTCCACTGCAGAGACAAACAGGAGTTTTGCCCACACAAGGGCCCCAACAATCAGCTCCAGGGGCATACCTACCCCAGAACCCTCACTCCAGAGAAGATCCTTCTGGCATCATCAAAACCAAGGCAAACTCGTTCTCTGCAGAGAGATCCTGGAGAAGCAATACAGATCTCACCACTGCTGACCACTGACCCCACTCAGGGAATCAGTGGGTGGAAGGAAGGCAGAAAGCTGTTGATTGCCTTCACGTCCCAAGGGATACAACTGCCATCCTTGAGAAATATATCCACTAATATTATGGGCTTCTGTGTAACCTGGACTGTCCTGGAACTCACTCTGTAGACTAGGCTGGCCTTGAACTCAGATTTGCCTGCCTCTCCCTCCTGAGTGCTGGGATTAAAGGCATGGGCCACCACATCTGGGGCTAGACTTATTTTATTTTTAAGTATTTATTTCAATCCAAAGCATAACAATAAGGCTGAAAAACAAATCAAGGCAGTTAGATTTCAGATCAGAGAAATTTTAAAGGCTCTGACTGCCTGGAACCCCTAGGCCAGTAGTTCTCAACCTCCTAAGGCTGTGACCTCTCAATACAGTTCCTCATGTTGTGGTGACCCCCAACTATAAAATTATTTCATTGCTACTTCATAATTTTAATTTTGCTACTGTTATGAATCGTAACGTAAATATTTGTGTTTTCCAATGGTGTTAGGTGACTCCTACGAAAGGGTTATTTGACCCCTGAGGGGTCACGACCCACAGGTTGTGACTCACTGCCCTAGGCTGGGGAAATGCCCAAAGATGGGGAAGCTGATGGAAGCTTGCCTGGTCCTCCTGGGCTGATCCCAGAGATGAAGAAACTGAACTTATTACCAGACACAGCAAGGGCTAATGGCTTCAGGGCAAGGGCAAGAAGGCCTGAACTGTTTGTTGCTTAGGTCAGGGGACAGACACTTCTCCTCCCAGTGGAGTGAAAGACTCACTCTCCAACTGGCTAGGCCTTGGTTCCCACAAAGGACTACAAAGTAGGCCAAGCAGAGGAGAGTTTTGCCCCAGAAACTAAGTTGAGCACATGCACATACACCATAGACGCTGCTGTTCCTAAAAATTCTCATATCCACGATTCCCAAGAGTCAGCTCTGAGCTGTGGCTCATGAGTCAGGCCCCCTTGTGACCCCTGGATTTATAGTAAATTCTTCTTCTCCTACTGAGTAGGAAAAATACTCCCCCAATAGAAAGAGCTCCACAGCCTGGTGAGTTTGGCTGCCCTGGTGTCTAAGGAAACAGAGAGAGCCAGCTCCTCACTAACAATGTTAGCTAGGCCCGCAATGAGATTTAACCTGCGACACAACTGTACTTTTCATTTAAACTTTCATTTGGAAAGAAACAGTGTTTGGAGACCTGCAGTTTGTCCTGCTAATAAAGACAAGTGTTGGGACCTTTAAGGATGCCATTCATCTTTGGCTTTTATTAAATTCAATTTTCTTAAGCCTGTGATACATTATGAAATTAGGAGTTGACATTCCTCTGGAAACAAAAATATCTATCAAACATAAATAGGGGAAAAACCTCTATTACCAAGAATGTATGGCTTAAAGTTGATCTCCTTCCACTTTTTTACAAGCACCCGGTTTGTTTTAGATATCTGAAATGCTATTACAGATCTGGAATTTCATTAGTATTATAAAACACAATGTGTGGAGCTCTTGCTCTGACCAGAACTGAATCAGCTTTCTCAGCAGGCTCTGAAAATTCAGCCGAGTCTCCCTGGAGCTCGGCATTCCAACTCTCTTGTTGCTGGTTCCTGCACTCAGAGGGACATGGAGCTAGTGACCAAGTTCAGTGACACCCTCCTGAGACCTGTCTCAGCTCCATGGGGGAAAAGAAAGAAAAGAAAGCAAACGCCTCAGGACACATGAGATCGGCCCATCAGCCAGGCTTATTCCTCAAAAATCAAGGAGGATTCCTAAGAGCCAGATCCACAATATGGCTACTCTGGAGTCTTTCCTCAGCAGCAGCAAGAGCTGTGACAACCATGTGACTGCACATGACCTATTCTTTTGAACCATTGAAATGCAAAGAGGAGCTTGTGACAGAAGACTCAAGAATCTTAAAAAACAAAAAGAAAAAATGTTTTAAATGGAGTTCGAGAGAGGACTGAGCTGTTAGAGCATATATTACTCCTGCAGAAAACCTGAGTTCAGTTCCCAGCACTCATGTCAAGTGGCTCACAGCCACCTATAACTAACTCCAGGGGATCCAAAGCCTCTGACCTATCAGGGCACCTGTACTTACCTGTATACACCCAGACACACTCGCACATAATTACAGTAAAATTTAGAAGACTCTCTGAGAGAATCAGAACAGACCACACTTAGATACTTCTTTCCTTCCCATACTGTCCAGCAAGTCCACCCCCAGAGCACCAGCCCAAACAGCCCAGTCATGGAGAGGAGCCCTATGCTGCACCAAGCTGGTCCACTATGCAGCAGATGTGCCTAAGCTGTGCCAAACATTTCCTTGATGGATGATGGTCAAAGACACTACTCTAATACTACAAGCAGATGGTATCAATTCCCACCCAAGAATTGGTGAAGATGTGCCTTAGTGCTAGCTTCTAGCTCTAGCTGCTCTTAGATAATACAACATTATCCCTGCCCCTCTTCCTTTTCCTCTGCCCAACTTCATTATTCCCCCAGAAAGAAGAGAGTTGTTTGTTTTATTTTTCTTTTCGGGGACAGATGAGTGCTTCTGTCCTAGAGGAAGAAGCCCCAGTCTGTATTTATAAGCCCTCTTTCTAGCCCCTAAGAATAGCTCCATAATTCTTTTGTTTTCCTATGCCACTCACATTCAATTAATCTACTAGGGGCTACTGTGTTAGATAGAGTGGGACTTAAGAGATACGTAATTTGTGCCTTGGAGAAGTGCTTGAACTCGTTAGTAAGTAGAAACAAACGATACCTGAGCAAACAATGGACAGTGGAGGGACATACCAAGTGTTAGGCTTTTGTCCTCTTCATTCATTTTCTTATTTTATGCTTACTAATCCCAGGAGACAGGTGACGCCATCAGCACCATCAGCAGATCACAAGCCAATACTGTTAAAGCACCTACTACTTAGCAGACAGCCCAAGCACAGGCACAGCAGTGAAGTGTGGACCTCTCTCTAGCATGCTCAAGACTCTGGGGAAAGGAACAAAGGAGATGGTCTCCAACACTCTCTGCCATGTGGAGAATGGAATCGTCCTGTTCCCTCCACTTCTTGTTTCCACTATGGTAGATACTCGGCTATGTGCTAACAGAAATGATCTCAAGCCTCTAAACAACTTATTAATTAGAGGTCATTACTGTTGCTACTTCACAATAAATTAAGACCCAGAGATATTATGGTCACTAGCAACTATGCTGCTAGTAAGGGATGGAGCTGGGACTTCCAAAAGGGAGTGGGGAAAGAGACTAGTACAACTGGCTGTTCTGTAGGGAACTCAGTACTCTCTCCTCAACATCCCAACAGCAGCATCCCAGGCAGAAGTCCTAGAGAAATGTTCCTAAAGAGCCTCCTCCATGCTGTAGCCAGAGAGATGGCACCAGGCTGAGCTCAGGAAGGGACGGAGCCTGAGCCTTCAGTCAGCATCTCTGCACCTGGCCCTGGTCCTGGCACTTGGCCCTCCCTTTCTCAACTTCAGTTTCGTGCAGACAGGAAGGGGCTAACAAGCAGGAGACAGAGCCAGTATCTGTTAAACAGAAAACACTCTGCTTTCTGGAATTTTCCACAGGATCTGGGAGGTGATCTGCCTAAGGTGACAATGTAGGTGGTGGAGCCAGAATCAAGCCCAGACACAGAGCACTCCAAAGCAATGTCTACTGGATTCATCCATCCTTACATCTCTAAATGGTTTCCTTCCTCAAATGATACCAATCACTTAACCCCAGATTTACCTAAACTGTCTAG